AATTAATTCACTTAAAAGATTGAGAAGCTAAAAACGGTATATAATATGTACACTTTGTGATAGTGGAAAACACAAACAATTGTGTATTTACTACACCGTATTTAGTGTTTTTTTTTTTTTTTTGAATAGGTATTTAGTTAATTTATTACATTTTAAAATAGTGGAAAAAATAAATAAATAATTATGCATTTTTTACATAAATTATTGGAACCTTTTAGATTTCAAATGTGTTAGTTGAGACGAACATTACAAGAGGAAGGTGAATTTTGTGTGAGTTTCTAGTGACTACTTTTGCGGAATTATAACAGAATATAAAAGGAACTTAGCAAAGCACACAAGATTTTACGAGGAAACCTTCCAAGACCCAACTGAAAGTAAAACCTCGATCCTCCAAGGGATTTCACACACCAAATCAATCCACTATAATAGGCCAAAATAACCCTAGTTATATTACAACCTATTATAATCCAGACATTTCTCACAGTTTTCTAACTGAACCTGCTACTCGATAGGACTCTATCCTACCCAATCTAAGTCCCAGACTTAGATTCACTCGGCACTCCCAAAATGCTCACACACTCAGCTTCAACCTTGAAGCCTACAATTTGTATGCAATAAGCTTAACACTCACCCAAACCAAAACAATACAAACTATTTGACTCTAATATGTGACTGGAAAGCTAAACATAGAATCTGAAACTAATATGACAAAGTTTAGACTTGGCAAACTTACACTTTAGAGCTCTCTTCAGATTCTTCACGCATAAACTCACAAAGTTGTGCAAATTATAAATTCTACTTTATATACAAGAGGCACTCGTATGTAAAGTAGGGTTTTCGAAAGATAGAAATTATAAAACTAACATATTCATAATAACACGTTTTATGTAAATCTTTTGAGAAGAAAATCTTGTTAGAAAACTTATCAAAGATATAATTTATGAAAAGAATATCATTTTGTAAAACCAGATTTTATAAAATAAAATCTTTCAAAGATCGTTTTCATAAATTAAAACTTATCTTTTATAAACTTTTCATTTTTGAAGCTTATCAAGTTTTGTCACGCTTCTAATAAATTTTATGTATAAACTTTCCTAACATATTTACAACAAACCTTAGAAAAATAAACTTAACATAAACTTATATTCTCTAGCTAGATAGTCTCATCAATCGCTGTAAGTTAAGGATACTTGGGCTTCACGCAGACTAGGATTAAGTTCCTGCTATCCTTCATTCTCCAGCTCCTTGCTGGAACTTCGCAGGCCAAGTTCGTTATAGAACTTGCTGTCTTCAACGCAGACCAAGTCAATGTTCTCAACTTGCTGTCACACTCCTGTTAGGGAACTTCTCTTAATGTTCCTGTTCTACTTTCATAGTCAGGTTACTCCATTGAGGAACTCTTCTTCTGCTTTCTTTAACTTTCCTTAGGATCTCCTTGAGTCTTCATAGTCAGGTTACTCTTCTACTTTCAAAGTCAACTTCATTTGTTCTAATCACAACATTTAGAGAAATCATTAGTTGAAATTTGCTTTTATTCATCATCATCAAAACTGTTAAGCTTCAACAAAATGAGATTATTTCTATTCAAAAAATATGATATTCAAAGAATTAAAGATTCCTAATATGAATAACTTTTTGAATGAATTTTTCTAATGAGAAACACCAGCAATAAAAACAAAAAGCCCGAGGAAGTAATTCCTATTTTTTGGAAACCGAGGGAGTAATTCCTTTTTTAAAAAAAATAAAAATAATTTTACTATATACAAACCAGCGTTAAACATTTTGAAATAGATTTTTTCAAAATACCTTTATATATTGAATTTGGTGATTTTCCCTTGCTTTTGTAATACTAACTGTGCCCTTAATTAATTGATACTCGTACGTTGTAGATCACATTTCTAATTTTGACCGCCTAGAATTTTATGCTTTATAATTCTTCGTAAATTTTAGTGGTGGACAAAATTTTATTTTGCTGTAAAATCAAAATAGAGAGACCATCTTACACAAATTTATACGTAACTTAAAAGGGACTTCAATCAATCATACGTGATGAATTATTCACTTATTCAGTGACAAAGGGGGTAATAATACTTTATTTATTTCAATTCCTATCAAGATAATCAAAAGTACTGGCCCATGATTTTGTCCAGTTTTTAACTTAAAACAGCATATAACATTAATGTCAAGACACCACTAAATAAAATTTCCTTCAGTGTATAACTGTATATAGTATTCACATCATAATACTGCTATAACCTTCACCAGTTAGATACCTTTTTTCTATAACCTTCACCAGTTGATGAATGCAAGAGAATATATTCTTAGCACATTATTGTACTGCTATAAATTTAAGTATGCTAATCAACAATATCTTAAGCGTTTTTCAGTCACTAAACATCAAATTTCTCTCTATATAAGCATAATATTGAGTTTATTTAGTAGATTATATCTTAGTCGATTTTGTTGTTTGAGATATGCCAAGGACTACCAAGCTCGTCGCACTGATGCATGTTACACGACTAAGGTGATCATACAAACTATTTTCTTTCCATAAACTTCAAATGTATATAGTCAATAATCGATCTACATACTGTCGGAATTGATAATTTCTTGCTTATACTGTTCGTTACTGTATGGGATGATACCAATACCGATATCATATTGTGGAATAATCGGGTTTGGCCAATCTCAGGGAGCTTATTGGCCATCGCAGCATATTGTATGCACGATTACTACCAACGACGTGGCTGACAGATGTCGACACGTGGTAAGAAGCCTATTGCATGGCATATGCAGCCACCTGGCAGTTGGTTTCCCTATAAATAGCCATCATATCTCTTCATTTAGAAGGTAACAAATACTCTCTCTCTCTCTCTCTCTCTCCTCTTCTTATCATTCTTCTCTTATCTTCTTCTTAAACTTGTTACTAACTTTGTCATCAAAGTGGTTATTTCCGGATTCACCCCGGGGCTAGCTAACTTGTGTTAATTGTGTAGGTTCTTAGTTGGACAATAGATTGAGTCTTCATAAATCTTGGATATGGGTTATCAGAGTACCTTAAAGAAGATGCAGGAGGAAGTCTAGCAATAAGGATGACAATAATGAGAAGGTGGTGATGAAGGTGAACAAATACTAGGTACCACACCCACGTACCGGTATATACTTCCCCGAATGATGTCCCCGAAAACTCGGCTTGGCTAGGACAATCACAATATTGGCTAAGGAACGTCCATAGAGCTGAAAAGCATGACCCTAATATGCTTTTCACGGTATTTAAGAAAAGTGGATCTCACATGACATAATGCAATTAAAATGAGGTTTAGAAGTTGTTAGAAGTATAATCAAGTGGGTCATATGTGAACTTTAAATAAAGGTAATAATACAATTTTCACCATAAAAACCCTTATTTTATAGTACGTTACAACTACTATGACATTTCCATTTAAAATAGTGTTGCTATTATAAATAAATGGAGGAAGTAGTATTATTATATATTGTTATTAGAAATTTATGCATAATATATATACAGGCATAATTGAACAAAGAAACTTATGCATAATATATATATAGGCATAATTGAACAAAGAAACTTATATAGAATCTACAAATATATGGTTGGTACATTGGATAGATAAATAAACTAGCACATAATTATGTTGTAAGGGTGCAACTAGGCACATAGCTACTATTTGTTTGAAATGCATATAGGAAGACTAATTGGTAAATTCACTTAATTTTTGTGATTTTTGATTGCTACAGTGGTATTTTTAATGTAATATTATATTTAAAGTGGTATTTTTAATGTAATATTATATTTAAAGTGGTATTTTTAATGTACTATTATACATGTATTGTATATAATTAGAGTATAAGTTGTTTTAGTAGTACTATTTACAGCCATTATAGGTAATAATGGTACAATATTTGTACCACTAGAAGGAAAAAAAAAATCACCACTCTTTTGTCTTATAGCTGCTATTTACATTAGCTGCTATTTACTTATGCACCAATACTTAACCAAGTTGTAATATTATGTACCCCACGTGCAATACTATCTATTACTCAAGTCATTATTATAGATAGTGATGGAAGAAGGATACTTTTCCCCTTGAATATTCACACAATATATACTAGTACAAGAGTAAACTAAATATGGCTATACAAGATTATTACCTCTTGAATCAAGGAGAATAATATCAAAGGAATATTTATAGCTCGTGATAATGGAACATAATTTCTAAAAACAAGGCATAATGTTAGCAAAGACTATGTCGTTAATTATTGTGTTTGACTTTAGATTATCAATCCACAATCCTCACGCCGCCTCAAAACGATCGGGTAAGCAGGAAGATAGATTTTGTTGACCAGTGTTAGTGGACCAACTCAATCAAAAGCTTAAGCTGATGGTTAAGGCCTAGGAATATGTTTTATACTCTATCACGCTTCCTCACACGAAAACCCTTTGGGCTTGAAGTGTGGATGCAGCATGGGCCCACCTCATACCCTACGCTTAATATTCCACTTGAAAGTGGGGGTGGATGAGATTCGAAACCCGTGACCTTTGTGTCATGCTAGCTCTGATACCATGTTAGTGGACCAACTCAATCAAAAGTTTAAACTAATGGTTGAGGTCCAAGGGAGTATGTTTTATACTCTATTAACTAGAGTATTGTAAGTTTGACGAGGAAGAGGCCTAGTTAATGCATCTGTAAGCTGGTCGTTTGTTGAGATGTATGCAACTCTTAGTTTCCCACGTTGCCCTTTTTTCTAACAAAATGATAATCCAAGGCTAAGTGCTTCATTTTAGAGTGGAACACAGGATTATCACTTACATAGGGTGCACCCGCATTATCAAAGTAGACGACTAGTGCCATATTAACTTTGTGACTAAGCTCTTCGAACAAATTTTGTACCCACAAGATTTCAGTAGTTGCATTTGCTACTGCTTTGTACTCGACCTCGATTGATGATCTTGCTCTTGTGTGTTGCTTCCTAAAGGTTCAAGATATTGGATTTTTGCCTAGGTAGACAATATAAGCTGTTGTCGAGATATAATCATCTTTGTCACTTGCCCAATTTGGATCCGAGTACGCATGAAGAGTGAGAGGAGAGTTTTTGTGTATAATCAGACCCATGTTCAATGTGCCTTCAAGATATCGAAGGAGCCGATGAAGAGCTTGCATGTGTTGGTTAGTTGGCCTTTGCATATATTGAGCTAGTTTGTTTACCGTAAATGCAACGTCTAGCCTTGTAAGATTGAGATATTGAAGACTGCCAATGAGTTGTCGGTATTCAGTGGGATCCGACAATAGCTCACCATGACGAGACAAAGGTGGATGAGTTGCTAGAGGAGTTACAACAGGCTTTGCGTCATCCATACTTGCTTTACAAAGATTGTCATTAATGTACTTCATTTGACTTAAGAAAAGTCCCTGTGGATGTGGCACAACTTCAACACCTAAAAAATAGGAGAGGTCCCCTAAATCTTTGAGTGAGAAACATGTAGCTAGATTGTTGACAAATTCCTCCAAAATGAATTAGCATTACTAGTCACAATGATGTCATCAACATATACTAGTAAGTAAATGATATTACCATTTTTGTGAAGCACGAACAGTGATGAATCCGAAAATGTATTCCGAAAACCCAATTTAATCAAATATTGCCGCAATTCATAATACCATGCTCTTGGTGCTTGCTTCAATCCTTACAGAGCGTTGTTTAGTTTGCACACATAGGTGGGACGGTTAGGATCACTATAACCGGGTGGTTGAATTGTGTAGACATTGTCTGTGAGAGTGCCTGATGCGTTGTTTATGTCTAGTTGACGTAAGGGCTAACGTTGACATACGGCTAAAGAGAGGATGAGTCTGACTGTGGAAGTCTTCACTACGGGGCTGAAAGTTTCACCATAGTCGATGCCTGGTCTTTGATTAAACCCTGTACCAACATAGCGAGCTTTATACTGAATAATTTTACTATCTTTATCCGTTTTAATATGAAAAATCCATTTGCAACCTATCACATTTTGTGTTGTGTTTAGCGGAACAAGATTCCATGTGTGATTTTTCACAAGAGCATTTATTTCCTCATCCATACCTTTTCGCCAAACAGGACGTTTTAGAGATTGAGTAATGTTTTTAGTTACGTCGACGGTAACACTTTTAGCATTTAAGTTGATCTTGTCGATTGGCTTCCGAATGCCATGTTTGAGACGGTTGGACATTTGATGTGTGGGTTTAGGAGAAGACGGTTCAGAGTAGGATGGGGTATTGTTTTGTGAATTAGAAGGTGATATGGTGGGAGAAGATGGTGTTCCATTATAGTATGGTGTAGTATTTTCGGTCTGGGCAGCGGTAGAGGGAGGTGAGTGGGGTGGTGAAGGTGTAGTATGTGGAGTAAGAGGTAGTGATATTTGGGATGGAGGAGTTAATTAATATTGGTAAAGTTAAAGGGGCTCATTCCTCTAGTAATGTGGCAGAGAGATTAGGGTAGTAGTTTTCTCAGAGAAAGGAAATTTATTTTCAATAAAATGCACATGCCTAGAAGTGTATATTCGGTCAGTAAATCTTTGTTACTCACTGTGAGAAACGTATTTGTGAACGTTTTTGTTTCTCACAGCGGCAATTTCGTAAATAAAATGTACCACCGTGACTAAAGTGGTACAATTTTATCATCCATTTCGTAAATAAAATGTACCATCGTGACTAAAGTGGTACCTTTTATTTACGAAACTGCCACTGTGAGAAACAAAAACGTTTCTCACAGTGAGTAATGGGGGCGCCCTCCATATTTGGTTGGAATCTAACTCCAAGCAATAGTAGGCACTTTGAATGGGGAAGTAGCCTATAAAGACACAAGGTTTTGATTTGGGTCTAATTTGTGGGAAGTATATGGCTTTAACCATGGATAACAAAGACAACCGAAACTCCTATGTACTGTGTTGTGCAATTTGGTTGAGTGTCAAACAACTTGTAGTATGCAGATTCATCGTTAAGAGTAGGTGTAGACAAACGATTTATGAGATAATCAGTGGTAGAACAAACATGAGACCGCAATATTCAAGTGGCATATTGGCATGAGATAAGAGAGAAAGAAATGTCTCAACAATGTGACGATGACGGTGTTCAGAGTGACCATTGTGTTGGGGTATATGAGGAGGAGTTGTAAGATGAGAAATCCCGTCAATAGATAAGAATTGTTGTAAAGACTCATATTTCCCCCTCCATTATCAGAATAAAGTGTTTTGAGAGGAAGTTGAAAAAATTTATCAACTAGAGCTCTTATGCTTGTATAAACCTTAGGAGACTATGCTTGAACTTCATAAACCCCTGACTTAGTTGGCCCCTAGAAGAGAGATACCCCCGTTTTGAGATCCTTCACAAGGAAAGAATTGGATGAGAATATAAAAGAGACATTACTATCTTGACATAATTGAGATATAGAGATGATATTTTTAGATATGGCAGAAACAACTAGAAGATTATGGAGTTTAAGAGAGGAAGAGAGATATATAGAACCATAATGAGTTATATAAAGACCCGTACCGTCACCCATGACTAGTTCCTCAGTACCATCATAAGGAGCATGTAGAGAGAGATTATTGAGGTCTAAAGTAACGTGATGAGAGGTGCCACTATCAAGCAATCATGTTGACGTGGAGGTGGACGCAGCAAGTTCATTAGTGTGTGCTTGTGGTTTTGAGTATGGACGATTTTGTTGCATTGGTAGTGGAGGAGGAGTTTTGGCAGTAGGGAACTGTTGTTTATATAAGGAGCAATGAGAAACAACATGCCCTTGTTCCCGACACCACTGACATTTGCCAAGAAAGGGACGAGGTTGTTTGTTATAAGTGGTAGGTGTAGGAAGGATACCTGATCCATTGTTATTGCGGCTATAATTGCGATTTTGATTCCTCGTGGTAGTAGCAAAGGCAATGGCAGGGAGGGATGTGTCAACACAAGCCTGTTGTATTGCTAGCTCCTTGTTGATTAGCTTTTCATAAAGCTCTTTAAAGGAGATGGGAGTGTCCCTAGCATTCACTGATTCGATGACAGAGTTGTATGAGTTATTTAAACTAAGGAGTACTCGATAAATTATATCATCATGCTTCATCTTCTTTCCAAGGGGAACACCAATCAGAAAAGGGTATTGGTTTTGTGAGAGAGTGCCAATTAGAGCACCAATCAGAAGCTTATCCTGACGAGTCCAAAAGGGATTGAGTCTTTTCTCACCATCAGTGGTGATAGTAAGAGGAGGACAAGGAAGAGTGTCGTCAACATATTGGTAGAAATCATGGCTAACTAGAATGGCCTCAATGTGCATTTTAATTTCCATGAAAGGTAGTTCGTAGCGGTAAGCCTGATGGCATTTTTGATGTTGAGAAATGTGAAAGGTTTTGTGGGATCATTGCCATTGGAAATTTGATAGGAGTTGGGGTTTGACAGAGCCATTGATGCAGAGAAGAAAAATTAAATTGATTTGAGTTTTAATTTGGATCAAGCGTCTGATACCATATAGGAGAGTGATGGAAAAAGGATACTTTTCTCATTGAATATTCACACAAAATATATAGTAGTACCAAGAGTAAACTAAATAAGGCTATACAATATTATTACCTCCTGAATCAAGGAGGATAATATCAAAGGAATATTTACAGCTCATGATGATAGTGGAATATAATTCCTAAAATCAAGGCATAATGTTAGCAAAGATTATGCAATTAATATTGTGTTTAACTTTAGTTTATCAATCCACAATCCTTTACAATTATTGTTCTTCATATGAATCATTAAGCTTTAAACCATCTAAAATTCTTGTTAAAAGATAATAAAATTATATCAAATATATAACCTTAAGATGGAAATTAACTAGGTTGGTATTAAATTCTACATTTGGTTTCTCGTGTCCCTTTATTTTCAACTGATTTTTTCCTGTATTGCTTTCCTGCAGTCATGTGATTGCAGCATATGCTAATTTTCTCTAGGAAACAGAAGAAGGAAATCTATGCACAACGCCTGCAACTCGTCATCAGAGCGCCATGATTGTTGCAACAACCTAGATTTTCCGATCCGTTCAGGGTAAAAAAAACTCAAAAATACTAGCAACACCAGCCTAGAGAATACTTTTCTCGTTTATTTTTTGGTGCTAGAGCCCTATTTATTATATATTTCATGCCCTTCAACAAGAAGAATTTGTATGTTCAGAAGAAATTTAAGATTTATAGTAAAACCATATTATCATATATGCATAATGTAATAGACTAATTATATGCTCCTTGAAAAATAGCTAGTAAAATACTAAGTATGTAAATTCCTTTTTAATGCACAATATGGAATGATCTTCCAACACTACTAATGAATAATATGATCAATTATTAAATAAAGCCATTTTGATAATTCCAAACAAACTTGAAATCATCTCATTAGTCAATTAACCAAAATTCAGATAACACAAATTCAATTTAGGGGCAGCCAAATAACCAAACCTTTGGCAGAACATTAAAAAAAATCCCCATGTAGATGAAAAACACATAAAATAGGAGGAAAAAAAAAGGAAAAACAGCTAAGGGACTGAACAAGAAGGAGAGGTAGCTGGGGGGGGGAAATAAGAGAAAACCAATACCTTGCATTCCTTCCCTTCCATACTGAGATAGAACTTCATCTTCTAATTCTTGATCACCCTCATATTCATTACCAACATCATCATCATTCTCATTTAGTGCATCCGCTTCATCAATCTCACTTAGTGCATCCACATCATCATTGTCATTCTCATTACATGCAGCGCCACAAATCCTTGCTTTTCTTGTAAGAGATTTATTCAAAGACTGATTACTTGCTACAAACGCTTCATTATTTTCTTTTTGCTTTTTCCGGAACTTGAGGTACGCTGACATGGAACCAGGAGAACAAAACACTCGTTTTGATCCTTTCTTTTATGAGATAACTTGCTCCTTCTTTTGGATGCATTGATCTTGAACTCTAGCAACCTTAATTAAGTGAGTGAATGTTCTGAACTTCATCAACTGCATGCTTCTTACGGCTATTCACTTCCACAACATCAGCCATAGTTTTGGGGCGAAGTGATGATTTATTTACTTGCTTTGAAACCTATAATACAAAAGGAAAATAAAGCATTACTAATTACATGTAAACCATGATAAACAATAAAAACAGTCTATATAAATGACAAAATAGAAGTGAACACCTGTTTACTGGGTTTTCTTTTTCCAGAAGTGAGATTGTTATCCATAATGTTATCAGTTTCAACCTCATTTTCACCATCATATTCTGACGTAGAGTCATCATTCTCATTTTCTGGTGTACTAGTCTGCATTGCACTTGGACAAAATAAGGCTTTTGTTTTTTTTTCCAAGTATCTTATTAGCAACGGATGCCGATCCTAAGGCTTCCATTCTTTCTACATTGAATTTTAGTTTTTGAAGCCGTTGCAGCTCATATTCTGTAAGCTAATTTTGGGAAGCAGAAACTTTGGGTCTACTCCGTTTCATTTGGAAAAAAATGGAAGTATGTTAATTTTGTATGTAAATACAATAAACTGAAACAAATAATTGCAATGTAAAATAAGCTCATTTATAACATATAGTGAAGTATTAAAAAAATGTATGTCAATACCATCTGAAAACTCTCTAGGAGGGATTTGAATAGCATAATGCCACCCTTCTCTATTCAAATATTCTACATAAAACACTTGATGTGCTTGATTTGCTAAGATAAAAGGTTCCTCTTTAGAAACGGTCTTATTCATATTAACCGTAATGAGCTCATCATCATCCTTTTCTGAGTGAAACCATTGACATCTAAATAAGACAACACAGAAATGACCATGATAGGATATCTCAATGATTTCAGTTATTGAACCATATAATTAACATTTCCCACAACAAGATTATGATCTTTGGAGCTTGCAAAGCTATGAGTAGTGGTAATTAGAGTGACGCCACTGTTTTGAGTTACGCAGTTTGCATCTCCCTTCATGGTATGAAACCTATAGTCGTTAACTGAGTACCCTGTGTGCTTTTTGGCAACGTGAGAGGGACCTTTTGATAACCACAAAATATGGTCATGGATATTATCATGGCCTTCTTTAAGAATCAAACCAACTTTCTCCTTAAACCAATCCATGAAATCCTTGCTATGGTCTTGAGCACTATTCCATTTTCTTTTCGTTTTAGCACTTACACAAATCTTGTGCTCACTATAA